CTCATCAAGCATTTCAAAACTTGTGATTTCGGTTTTAGGGATTGTGATGTTGTAGCTGTTTGTAGAAGAATTAGTTTAATAATAAAATAAATAAATTAAATGCATTGCTTCAGTGTTTTCCTTATTCACACCTTTATGTTTAATTTTTTTATTAGTTAAAAACAAAACTAATATTACATCATATGAACGGTTGTTAGTAAGTCATGACCACTGAACCAACTGGTCTGGATGCATGTACATTTGCAAAAAATAATAAAATAAATAAATTCAATGCATTGTTTCAGTGTTTTCCTTATTCACACCTTTATGTTTAATTTTTTATTAGTTAAAAACAAAACTAATATTAATGCTACAGCCTTGAAAAATAACTCACACCCCTTGGATTTTTCCACATTTTGTTTTATTTCAGTCACAAACTGTGTTGTTTTACTTGGATTTTATGTGCTGAACAAACACAAAGTAGAGCATAATAATCTTTAGCTTCCTTTAACACTGATTCCCTGAACCAAGACCCAAATATCCACCTCCAGAAGTCACCTGTGTGTGATTTAAATTAATCTGGATCCAGCTGTTGTGAACACCTGAGAGGTCTGTTACAGAACATTAATGATAAAACAGCATCATGAAGACCAAGGAACACAACAGACAGGGTTGTTGAGGAGTTTAAAGCAGGTTTAGGTTATAGGATTCACCTCACTGAGCTCGGTTCAGTCCATCATGTGAGAAAGAATGCAGCAGAAATGCAAACCTGCCACGACAAGCCRTCCACAGGATCGCTGTTAGACTCCACTGACCTGCTTTAATGGAAGAGCAGAACTAAAAAAAACTAAAAATCAGTGTTAGGAGAGAACACRAGGAGACACAGCTAAGGATGGCGTTGAAGTGGTATACCAAAATCAAAAGATTTGATTTTTGTTTTTTTTAATATCAGTATCATATATACAGGAGTAAATGAATCATCTGCTGGTGTAGGACTGAATTCCTTTTTATTTTTTATTTTTCTGACCTGTGCGGAGTTTGCATGTTCTCCTCGTGCCCAAAACATGTACAATAGGTTGCCTTCAGGCACAGGCCGCTTTTGAAAAAGAGATCTGACATCTCAATGGGACTTGCCTGGTAAAATAACGGTAAATTTTATGAATTGATCTGAATCACTACTAACTTACTTAATCTTATAATTTATATTTTTATAAAACACTTCACAAGACCCTTTMTCCTAAGGTCAAAGTATTTAATTCTGTTCAAGTTAGACCTGTTGTTTTAGTTCAAAAGGGCTTCTGAATTTTTTTTTTCAATGTATTTTTCTATTTTAAAATACGATGTTTTCATGTTTCAKCAAAGGTTTAGTGCACCAGCTGGGTTAATGTTGCATTTTTCTCATGGCGTTGTGGAGAAACAAACATCGACACTTCTTCTGAGCCTCATGTGAGCKGAGTTGAAACTTGTGTCCTTGTTCTTTACATTCTTAGATTCCTCCAAAGATCCCTGAGCAGTTCAATCATTTCGTGACCTGAATTATGCAAACGTCTCACGCTGTTTCTTTTCAGATTCTTTTAAAAATAACWTCAACAATGTTTCTCACACATATTTAGCAAACTACAGATGTTTTTTGGCCTCATTYGCTTCTGAAAAACTCAAACAAATCCTGATTCTGATCTCCTGTTGACAAATATTTGAAATCCCTCTTTTGTCACTTATGACTTTATTGCCTCCATGTGTGGGAACGTGTTTCATACCTGAACTGGATGTAACTGATTTAAMATAAAGTCATTTTTATCGCAAACTTTTTAGTTTTGTTTATTTATTATTTATTTTATTTTTTATTTTTTTGGCTCATTTAGAGCAGTGATTCCCTGTCAGGGGGGTACGCGAGCATTTTACAGGGGGTACGTGGAAAAAATTCCCAGGTATGTAAGAAAATAAATAAAAATAGGATAGGACTGATGTATGTAGGGCCCTATGATTTCTGCAATGTGGAAAATGCAGATGGAATCACAAAATTTACATAAAATGAAATCCTGTATAAAACGCAGAGTCTCATCCCTCATTTGGGGTTTCTGATGTATTTTGTTTTGTGCACCTGCTGTTACCTAGCTTATTTATTTAGGTACTTATTCATTTTCAAGGCAACATATTTATCTTTATGTTTAATTTAAGTTAAAAAGAATAATATGCATGAGAATTAAATGTTCTAAGGGTTTAAATAAATAATTTTCATTTAATAATCAGTTGTGGTAAATTATAGTTTTGAAGAATCATCATTACGTTTGACTGAGGGGGTACTAGTGGTATGACAAAATGGTTCAGGGGGTAAACAAGTCTAAAAAAAACTTTTTGTCTTCTGACCCACAAAATATCCATGGCAAAAACTTGTGACCCCAAATATTACTGGTCTGAGTACACAAAATTTGTTAATAACCCTAAAAACACAGGCTTTTTGACAATCTAAACAGCTTATACACAAAAATAAATACTTATTTATACTTATTTTGTGTTTTTGTAGTAATTACAGAGAAAATATTACATCAGCAATTATTTTATTACCCTTTTACATTGATTTCTGGAGATTATCCAAGGTGCTTCATGACCCATAATTGGGTCCCAAGCCCAACTTTGGGAACCAAAGTKCAGTGGTTCCCAAACTTTTCAGCTTTTGACCCACAAAATAACAGTAGCAGAGACCTGTGCCCCCAACTATTTTTGGATGATGAACATTTGTATCAGATCAACTAAACATGRGCATAGTAACAATATTTTTATAATACATTTATCCATTTTAAATATACTAACCTCACTCATCTGTAACAACTAAGGCAAAAATGTAATTAATTCAGAAAATCTTTTCAGGACCCCACTTTGATGTTTCGGGACCCCATGGGTCAGCACTACTGCTGTCAATGTCAGCTGGAAGTATGTGTTTCTGCTGTAACAAAGTATATTTTAAGGTGATCTTAATATTTTGGGGTTTTGTCATAACACATGAATTTATCCGTTTTTGTTTGAACTTAACCAGAAGTGACACCAAAGTTGAACTCCCTGGTTAGGGTTATAACCCTAACCCTAACCCTAACCCTAACCCTAACCCCCTTCTTTGTATGAGCAGAAAACATCAAACCAACACCTTTTAATATCTTATTAACAATAATTTTACTAAGATTAAAAGGTGCATTACTGGTGCAATGCTGCAGCCATTTTTGTGTGGCTAAAGCTAATTAGCTGTGGCAGCCATCTAAAATTGGGTTGACTCCAAAAGTTAATCAGTTGTGAGGTACATCAAGTGACTAGTTGGGCGTTTTAATGGAAG